GTTTCTTAGTTATTCATTCTTCGCACTCTTCACGTAGACTATGTTTTATTTGAATTAATATAGCACCTAATTCGCACTGTTGGTCATTAACTTTCTATGTAAGTCAGTTCAATAATTTGGTTAAAAATTCGGTTATAAACTCTTAATTGTTAGCCACTTAAATTATAAGATGGTATTTTTCTGTTTCAATCAAGTTAACCTAGATATCACGAACGTCGATCAAAAGCAATACAGTTTTATAGCAAATGTTGAAAACCTAATGGGCGGCCACCGCAGGCAACTATTAAATTTATGTAATACAATTGCAGTGTGTTGTCGTATAAAGTACCATTGAATTTCACCAAATTAACCATTTTTTTTTGAGAATCTATTCTGTTAGGTTGGGAAAAAGTCTTTTCGCATATAGTATGCATAAGCTTGTAATAAAATCTTTTTGGCCGTACCATTTGCATCTGGCTGGTTTTGGTATAATTAAAAAGTTTAGATTTTAAAGGAGATTACTCCGAATTCAAATTAGGAAAATGTGTGATTTTCACTTGTTTTTCTTACTGTCAAAATGTGTAAATGTAATGAAGAAATACATTTTAAAATTTTATAACAAAAAAGGTAAAAATGCAACGCAAGCAGCGAAATGTTTTTGTGATATATATGGACCTAGTACAGTTTCTGTGAGAGTAGCAATAACTGGAGAAAAATTGGTATATCAGTAGTTACAACGTAGCTGAACAGCTGAGGATTGCCTACAAAAAAGCTGGGTACACAAAAAAGTTAGATATTTTGGTACCTCATGAGCTAACCAAAAGAAACCTAATAACCGTGTTCCTATACTCTTTTGTGATTCTTTATTGAGGGGTAATGAAACTGAACCATTTTTGAAGAAAGTAATAAGTGGTGATACAAACTGACGTTTGTGCAAATGGCTGTTTGTCTTTTAACTTTAATGTATGCCCAAAAAGACTTCAGGTATTATTTGTACCATTCGCCATCTTTCTGTTTAGTTCAAATACTATTAGAAAGTGATGTCAGAAGCCATATAAAACTGCAAGTATGTATGAAAAGAGTAATGAAAGAGGATGAAGCGAAATATGTATCTAAGGACCGTACACTGTGGCGTGCGGTCCGCCCTACCTACAATGTAGCATGGAGATATAGATAGATAGATATAAATAACATACTAATGCTAAGGTTCCAAGATGAATTAGTTAAAGCCATCGTTTAATAGGTTATTTGAAACCAAGAATGTACCACTACACGCTAACACGAGTTAATACAGAAACTTCATTTTCTACATTGACTCGACCGGGAATCGAAACAGGGACCTCAGGGATGGCGATACTTTGATATCAGCGTGGAAGCCACTGACTATGGAGGTCATTTTGCTTCTTTAATGAAATTTAAATTAATATTTCATAAGAAAAACTTTTTTAAAACAATTATAAAATGTAAATAAAGGAATTATGAAATAATTTTAAGTATCTGCCCTGAAGCGTACACTGATATGGGGTCATCGTTGCATTGGACAGACCTTGAGACCTTTATACTAGAAATAACAAGCTATTTGAAATTTATTTGACATTGGTTATATGCACTAAATGTGCGAACCCATAACGAAAATATTGCGTATGGATATATGATTTGACACAAAACTTAACAAAATCTGTGAAAGCATATTTCAACTAATTGAATCAATTAAAATACTGTAGACATTAACAATATTAAGAAGCCTATAGCTATTTTTTACCCGACTGCGCAACACAAAGGAGGGTAATGTGTTTATCAGTCTATGTATGTATGTATGTTTGTTTCTATGTGGCGTTCCAGAGACCAAATGCGTAGGTCGATTTTGATGATTCTTACGTCAATCGATTCGTCTTAACCTTGCGAGCGTCACTGAAGACATGACAGTAATCAAAATTCACCACAGCGACAACCAGATGCCGTATTGTCAAAATGAAAAAAAAACGATGAACTATGTCAAGTAGGGTGTCGTTGAATAGGTATTTTAAAATCATGTTTAGGTTCCTTTTATCTATTTTCATTTTAAATTACAGTTTAGGATATATAACGATTTAAAGTTGTTTAACAAACGATATTAACTCTATCAATGAAATGACTAGATTGCGAAATTTACCATCTTATAACGTAGGCAACGAATCGTAACTAAAAAGTATAAAATAAAAATAAATAATTTAAAGAAAATAAAATACCCGACTGGCTGGCTTGTTTAATTTTATGTTGCTCAAAAAAGAAATAAGTTATAATGATGATTTATTGGTACACCATACAAGTAGGTAGGTACACTACCATCTTACATCGTAGTTAAAATAAGGAGTACCATAATAAGCCTATGAATGTCCCCAATGCTGAAGCTCAGGCCTTCCCTGTGGATGAAATAGATTTAAATTGAATAAAAAAAATTGGCCAACCACGCAGGTCCAGTATGGATTGTTGGATATTAACGACTGCAGATGCAGCCGGAACTAGATTAACGTATCTTCCGAAGCACGGTGAAGCTCGACATAATACATTTTAGGTCATCCGTCCTATGACTAGCCATTACTAAAGATGTTTAGCAAACGTATCGTAAAACGAGTGCACCAACCACTGTATAGTCAAAGCAATATGCAGTAATTATTAAATCAATACATTCTATCCATAATAGCCAATTTCAAATACAAAGAACACTTAAAATATTAATTATTTCTGTAGCCAGCAGTAAATGAAGCAGATCAATTTGAATGATAAGTGTGTTGTAACATATAATGTATCAGTGCAGCTTACTAACACTTATTGCTGAGTAGTTGCTTTGACCTAATAATGGAAATATTTTTAGTCATTGTATGTAAACAATATTGCAGTTTCATGTTTCTGATGTTAACATTCATTTTTAAAAAGTGTACTCTGTGAAAATTTCGAGTATTATTTGTAGACAGTCTATATTAATTAATGCCTAATTAAGAAGGACCTTTACTTACTGGGCTCGCGTGTCGTTTTATCCACTGAGAAATTGCCATAAACCAGGGCTTGTGACCCAGTAATAGACATATTAATAGTCTCATGATGATGAATTAAGATATCATTTTAGCGACAAAAATTACGTTTCGGTAGACGGCAATGGCTCAATTCGTGCGAGATACCCATTATTTCGTCTCACACTTTAACAAATTAAAAAATCATCCTTGCATCAAACGATTTCCAAAACGAATGTTATAAATTTTAATAGAGAAAATTCTAACACTCGTATCTATAGTCGACAGAAGTAATCACAAGAAAAAGTCATAAATGCAAATATTTTTAACCAATAATTGCGAATCTGAATAAAGTATGAATTCTAATTAATATCAGTGCTTACTTTATTGAAATTCTAAACTTATTAGAAAGGTAACAATATCCGCTTAAATTATTACATATTCTGAAGTTAATATTTCTCAAGTCTATTATAAATATACGAGTAGTGTTAATGGTCCTTTTAAACAAATAACGATATTTAACGAGAATTTAGCCAATATGTTGAATGCTCACAGAAATTATTAATTAACAAGTAAGAACTAAGTATCAACATTTTAACGTTTTCAATCATAACAACCTAACTCATCAGTTACCGTATCATACGTCAGTAGGCTACACAGAACAAGCAGTGGTGCAACCAGCTACAGTTATAAATACTGTGGCACACGTACAGTCCAGCACAGTGTCAGTTCTGGTCCTGTCGGCACAGCTGAAGAGGAAGAAAGTGACATAGTGAAAAATAGAATAACAAAACCATGCGTACCTTCCAAGTAAGTGCGACCGTATTTGTGATATTATAAAATAACGTTATTGTCATTGTCGCATGAAGTGAATTCTTTATTCTAAAAAACAGCTTGAAGAAGTGACGATGATTGAAGTTTGAAGTGCTCTGTTTGTTTGATTTTGTTTATTTCTAGGCTATAAAGGTTTCATTTATTTAAATAAATAAATATTCAATTCAATAAATACGGAAAATGTACAAAAATATAAATCGACAAATAATGTTATGTTTTAATTCAATATTATTTATACACAACCGCCATCTATATCAACATTCACCAGTTAATGTCCTCACACAGATTTAGACTTTCCCTAAGGATTGAATTGAATAGTCTCGATTAGGGAGAATACAAATGCATATTATTTTAAATATAGTTTACATTTTAAAATATCTAAAATCAGATTTAAAAACATATCAATATTATACGTATTTGATCAGTTTTGAATTCAAATCAGATAAGATATTTAACTCACGCGAAAAAGCACATTAAAGGTTGTTTAACAAGAGACAATAAATCTACCTCATTCATTTTTTTATTTCTTACTTTACAGGAATGAGTAATATTACGATAAACAAATAACGATTCAGAATTTTCTAGTATTTCTGAATAAACAAACTTAAACTCATAGTTGAATTGTCCATATGTCTCAAAGTAGATTTTTTTTCATTGTGTAATTTATTTTTAACAAAACCGATCCGTCTTCCTTTAGGTCTCTTATTCCCACCCACTACAATGCCTAAACATAAAATTTTTACTTATTTACGTTATTTTACCTTTGATACGATTTTTAAAGTAATAAAACTACAATATTTAACGCAAATCTTTGTATTCAATACTCTGTAATTAAATTATATAAACCCAATTAACGAAATACATATCCATGTTTCGATTCAATCAAATCACGCAAATCTTATAATATCATGCAATGGTAATAATAGTTTATAAATTCTTATTAGGCATTAAAACGTGCTTTTATTGTTTTTACTGTTTAGTTATATCACAGATATACATAAACATTATATACGGGAGTGAAGCCATTAATACTCGTAATAAAAAAATCGATTTTTTTACTTAAAAACAAACCTCGCTGTAAAGGAAGTACTGACAGTATTTATAAAAAATGGTAAATGCTTTTTTTATTAACTATGACAATCAGAAAAAATCACCAGTCTTTTTAGTCGTACGATATCGTTTTGAAATCTTTGTTATATGACAATAAAAGGCACACGTCCGTTCCGGTTTATTTCGGCTACAGTGTCGCAAATTCTAGTTTGTAGTAAGTACAGTCAGAAAATTAATTTTAGTTACTTTTTTTTTCTATATATGTTATTGTTATATAGAAATTAGTTGATCTTAATTAAGAATAACCTTTGCAAATGCTGATAATATCATTTATTTTTCCGAGATGCTTTGTGTTGTTGTTGTTTGTTTGTTATGTGTTTTTAAATTTTGAAGTAATTCTGCTTTGTCGTCAAATTTACATTCAAATGATAAAAATTCAGTGAAAATCTTAGTCTACAATACCGAAAAAAACATTTTATACATTATAGAGACGAAAAACAATTTCTACTTTGCAGAATCTTAACAACACTTCTGGCTGTAAAAAGTATAAATTTTATTTACTTGATTTTAAATCTCAATACTTAAAATTTACTAAGAAAATTTGACATATTGTCGTAGCCTGACACGCAGCCATATTGTATATTAATTACTTACATAATGGCTTACAAAAGTTATATTTCTGAGTCCAAGAAATTGGTAACACTGTGAATCAAAACACATCGGAACAGCACTGTTTTGTTGACCTTACCGAGTATCAGACGCAAGAATACCTACTATTGGAAATAAATAAAGATGACTTACAGCAACGGAAAGCATATATGATTACTAGAGTCTGCTTCCTGCATTCGTTTTTACTAGTTCTATTGTTCTGATTCAACACCATATATGGAGAGATCATAATTCCAAATATGTGGTTTGTGATATAAATAGTTTATGACATTTAAAGTTTCAAGCATAGAATTCAAAATAGTAATGCATCGTCATATTTATTTTTGAGCAGATAACGATGTATTCATAATATGTGTAAATCAGTAACACAAATCATGTAGGTATCTAATTAAAAATGACAATTTTTTACTTATTAATATTAGACGACAACAGAGCCAATATCGTAGGTACGGTTTAAAATTATTGGATATATAAACGTACGTAAAGCATTTGCATTTTTTCAATTAAAAGTTGTAACTATTTTTGCATTTGTAATTCAAAAGTTGCATTCGTGATTAAAAGTTATTCGATTTAATCGAAACCGAAAATAAAAAAAAAATCATGAACATTTACAATAATTTGATTGAATCTATTCTTATATTCTAAAAAGGAAAGATATCATCTTTTGTTTGCTTACATTAAATAGGAAACTATTGGACTGATTTAAAAACTTCTTTCACTTACGGTATGGACTTACGGGAAGCAACGTCATATGCGGGTGACGCCTAGATATGAATCGGGGAAAATAGCTAATAAAATCAAATATATAAAAGGACTTGAACTTTTGCGTTTCAGATATTCGTTTTTGTCGCCATTTGCGCAGGCGCTAGTGCCGGTTATATCGGCGGGTACGCAGGATATGGTGGTTACGGAGGCTATGGAGGAAACGACGGCTACGCAGGAGATGATCACGGTGATTATTACGTAAGTAAAACTGTATACATATTTTTATTCGAAATACACAACTTCAACTGTTATAAAGTTTAAGTGAACTGAAATTTTGTAGTGATGTAGTTCATAAAGATCGTTTATGAAGTATATCATTACAAAAAAGTGTCATATTTTCCCCAAAACAATAAAATTTAAACAAATGGTGACTTTTAGGGGTAGCTTGTATACAAAGAAAATTTTATGAATTTGCGTTTTACCTCACAGAGAGAGGGGAGGGAGAGAGAGAGAGAGAGTAAGGACAAATATGATATAGTTTTCTTATTTTTCGTTACAGTTTATTTAGACATTATTTATTAATCTAATACAAATTAAAGTAAACGACTTTCAGTATACGCATCTTCTTAAAATTATGAAAAAAATAGTTAAATTTATTAAGCGACATTTATTAAAGTACTTTTTAATTAAATTATTCAAAGAATCAAAAAGGGAAACACTATTATTAAGACTCTGCTGTCCATCTGTCTGTCCATCTAGCTGTCAAATATAGATATTTTGCTGGCAACAAATACTAAAAAACAGAATAAGATATATATTTAAAACATATTATTTGCGTACCTATAGATAATGGTACGGAACCCGAGTCTGATTGGTACTTGGACAGTTTTCAAAGTTAATCTATGTCGTATGTGCCATATCAATATAAAGTAGTGTTGTTATTCTTTGTAAACAACCCTCCCTATACTTACAAAATCGGAAAATGGCGACAGCTAGTTATGGTCCATAACGAGTGTAAGCACCGTGTCTATTTGCATCATTATGACGCAATCGGCACCCATTGACATGTTTGCTTCTTAACGGAAATTGGTTCAAAGGAAACGGTTGAAACGAAATTAGAGAATGTTGCATTATTTATCTTGAATAAAGACAGAATTTAAATTTTATTTTATCTGTGCGATTATAATAGCAATGCAATAATAACAGGTTGCAGCCATTATTATTATAGGCGTTAACAATGTGAACTCGTTGAAGTCTTTAATATGAACAAAGACGTCCATACATGCAATAGACTTCGACGCGTTATACATGTTTGAATAATTTTATAAAATAATTAGTTAAAATACAATCATATAATAATTGGCTTTATAATCGATAAAGTATAATCTCCTTGCTAGGGAAGCTTACACGAGCCGTCATTAAAAACCCTGATTTCATTAAAGCCATGATTCTTGACATTACAAAAGTGAATAATATGCATTGAATGGGCTTTGGAGAATTGTAATGTTATTAGGTTTAACGAATTATTAGACAACGTCACATATTATATTTGATAAATTTGGTATTCACCAGACATATTAAGTACTTAAATAAAGTGTTGTATTTTAGGAATCTTAAATAAAGAAAGCACCACACTCAGACCCGAACAATATAAGAATATAAAATTTCTACATATACTGGACCGGAATGGAATCCGGGCCCTCAGGCATGGTGACACCTTGTTAACGGCATATGAATAAGTACCAACTAAGTACCAAAAGAGCAATGTTTTAATAGGATAATACTTATTTATCTGCATTATATTCTTATTGGGTCCCAACATTACTAAAAGCAGAAAACTAAAATTATAAAAATTTAAGATCTACTCGTATTTATTTAAAATTAGACAATTAATCCATCGGTTTCAAGTTTTCGCCAACCTTGGTCTAGGTTTTGATGTCCGGTTATGTCATTATAAAAAAAAACAACTTATTCAAAATACTTTAAAGTACTTCCGTTGTTTCAGAGCATATATGCATATTTATATTTATAAAAATAATAATAGGGAATGTTGTGTTTTTAGGCCTACCCCAAATATGCCTTCGATTACTCAGTGAAAGATCCCCATACTGGTGACCACAAAACACAGTGGGAGACCCGTGACGGAGATGTTGTAAAAGGTACACTAAAATACATGTTTTTACTCTGTTATAGTTACTTAATTTGATTCAAAAAATTATTTTAAAAAATATATCTAAAAGAAGACGTTTATGTATATTTTTAGGTGCATACTCTCTAGCGGAGCCTGACGGTACAACACGTATTGTGGAATACACGGCTGACAAGCACAATGGATTCAATGCTGTGGTCAAACGCATTGGGCACGCGCACCACCCGCAAGTCTACAACAACCACGACGATGGTTACTACGGATACCACTAGATGGAGCTGTATCACGATGACCAAATAGTTTACTCTACAAAACACAGATGGCGTTAAAAACTTTATTGCTTCCATCATAGATGGCACTGATAGTGTCACACTTTTGAATCAAACCGTCTACAGTGGCGAACTGTGATACTTATAGAATATTTATTGTGTTCTACTTCTTCTCAAAGTAGGTATGGCAATTTAATTTTATGAATAGTTTGTAAGGTAATCGACATAACATTGTGTTATTGTTGTTTTGATACGAAAAAAACCAAATTAAAATGTTTTAAGAATTAACTGTATTTTTTTTAATATAATAACTAAAAAATAGTTTAAAGTAGGTATTACATTTGTGATTGAAATATAAAATAAATAAGTAAAGAAAAATCATGCTTTTGCTGTGTCAACACATTATAATATTGGGTGTATGCAAAAATAGTGCAACTTTTGTTCCTTGCTCTTAAGACAATATTTAAACTTCAAATTTTCCTGCGTCATTTTGTGCTGCGGTAGCTCTATTAGTGAGCTTTAAGAATTGATTAATGGTTCGTAATTCAGTTGTTTACATCGTGTACAACTGAATTACGAATTATTAGGTTCACAATGTCGGTAAGTAAAGAACATTTTCGCCATTGTCTTCTTTACGAATATCAACAAGGAAAAAAGGCAAAATATGCCTTTAAATAATTGACTAACGTTTTTGGCGAAAATACAGTTAATTATTCAACAATTACTACGTTTATACCAACGTTTCAAAGGCGGCGATTACACTGGGAGGGTTATGAACGTGAAGGTCGCCCAGAAAAGTGTTTAAAGGATAATTTGCAAATATTGCTTGATGAAAACTCATGTCGAACTCAAGAAGTATTAGCAGAAGTGCTTGAAGTTGATCAGGCAACAATTCCAGACATAAGACATGCGGCGTATTCACCCGACCTCGCGCCAGACTACCATCTTTTTAGATCGATGAATAACGCGCTACAAGGTGTACGCTTTCGATCATTTGAAGAAGTGTAAAAATGGATTGACAACTTCTTTGCATCGAAAAGCCAAAAAATATTTCATGAGGGAAACCATAAATTATTAAGCCGGTGGCAGAAGGACAATAAAGGAGAATATTTTGATGATTAACATATTGTTCATTTGTCTGAAAAGTAAAATTCAAAAAATTTTAATATAGTTGCATTATTTTTGCTTACATCTAATAGATAACTAACAACGTAAGTTTAATAGGTAAATATTTTTATCATAAATAAACTTTATAATACAAGCTGAACCAGCCACTCATAAGATAAAAACTCGCCTACCTTATAAATTAGACCAAATTACATCTGAAGTTTGAAATGCTAAAATTTTGCAGTTTTGAAGTTTTCAATGACATATATTAAGTAACACACATTGATTTTCCTGGTTGTAGAATTAAACCGTTTAAAACATAAAAAATTGTATGATATGTAACAGATACATTGCATATATTACACAATGTTAGTTAGCACATTAACAGCTAATTCATCAAACACAAGCTGATCAATTAGTTTGAATCATCCGCAAATGAAAGTGTGAAGTTAATAACAAAAACTTTCCTGCTGAAATTCATCATCGTTACAAAATATTTCATGCATGAAACATGAAGCGATGTTTGCAAAAAAAAGTAACATTATAAATGGATAATACTTTGGATTCTATCATATGGTTACACTTCAATTGGCAAGGTACTGTGATTTAGGAGCTATGCTGTACTGGTGGCATATTATTGAAATGATAAATAGCGATTCATTCATTGGAATAGAAATATCATATTAAATTGTGGTTATTTTCCTACTCTTTCATATGTGTAATTAAAAAAAAGCCGTTACTACAGTTCTTTGGATTGACTTCACATTGGAACAACGTAAATATAGTTTTTAAGTATCTTACAATCCACAATAAAAAATCCAAGTGTTTGATTCATATCAAATAAAATTAATTATAAACAAATGATATATTTCAAAATTTTTATATGTTATCTAATGGAGATTGGCGAGTTTCCTTAGGGCCTTAGGCCCAAACATTACATTTAGAGATATGGTAGTTAAACAAACTTAAAAATTCCCATATTATAAAATATTTTGGATCTGTTTTTGGATGTTGAGAATTGTATAAGAAAAATGCTTACAATGTGTCTGATGTGCATGCGCAGGTTATTCAGAATGGTCGTTATTCATCTAGTCCGTAATATGTAGGAAAAATCAAAATCATGAAAATCATAAAAATATCAATTTCAACACCAACACAAATGAAATTTCTAATGATTCTAATTCTAATAAAAATGAGATAGCGTCTTTGTTAAGAGGGAAGTCATATGTTTGTGTTATTAATTGCAACACATTGTATCATCATAGAAATGGAATGTGTTTTTTTTCTATATATATTAAAAATTATAAAATCTGTTACAGTTGTTTTTGACTTCTAACTAGCTAGGCCCAGTTTCGCTATTCTCCTATTTAATTACAGAATGTTTTAATTAAATATCCCACCGTTTTTATAATAAAGTTCCATCCGACTAATCAAAACAGTATGACAAGACATCAAGACATGACATATTGTCAAAATGTTACTATTATATTTGATCAATTTTACATTCACAATACTATACCGAGTAGCTCGGTGGCGTAGTGGATAAGCGCCGCGGCCCGCGATCGTTGTCGTTAAACAACTTTCGCAAGGGCCGGTCACGGGATGGGTGACCAAAAAAAAAATTGTCTCGAGCTACTCCGTGCTTCGGCAGGCACGTTAAGTCGTTGGTCCCGGCTGCATTTGCAGTCGTTAATACCCTCCAGTCCGCATTGGGCCAGCGTGGAGGGTCTTGGCCCATCCTCCTTAACCATCCATAAGGAAGGCCTGAGCCCCTGCAGTGGGGACGTAAAAGGGCTGATGATGATGATGATGACTACTATACCGATAATTATATTTAATTAGCCTACCGCCAGCAGATCCGCCCGATTGGCCCCTAGGAAATTGTTTAGTTGGATATCGATTCATATAATGATACGAAAATACTCGTAATTACATTGACAAATTAATTAGTAAACAATGTATACCATGGCAACGTTTTAATCCCATTAATATTAAAAATGCGAAAGTTTCTTTGTTTGGATGTTTGTTCGTCAATCACGCTGAAACTATTGAACGGATTTTGATGAAATTTGGTAAAAAAAAAAATTATATATCCATTATACTTCCTTTATATTCCTTATTTAAGATATATTTCTTCTACATGTTGCACCCATTACCCCATATTATTTATTTATCTGTTTTCCTCCATAGGTTGCCTGGAAGATATTGCTATGTAGCAATAAGGCCGCCTTTTTGTATACTGTTTTTTTCTTTTCTCAAACTGTGTTATTTGTAACTCGTGTGTGCAATAAAGTATATTATTAATATTATTATTTTAATTACCTGACTTAGATAATAGGATACTTTTTATCCCACTAAACATTTCCCTAGGGACCACGCGGGAAATGCTACTGGCGAAAGCTAGTACTTCATAAAAAGTTCCACTACTATTATCATTTCTTGATTTGCTTTTTCGGGTTAAAATATAGCCTATGTACACCGCATTATGTAGCTTTCCGTAGGTAAAAGATTTTTTAAAATCAGTCCATTCGTTTCGGAGCCTATACATTACAAACAAACAAACAATGAAATCTTTCCTCTTTATAATATTAGTATAGATGAAAAATGCATAAAATCCGATCTCGGGTTACTTGAGGCTGGTCGATTTTTAGACGTTGTTCTTTAAAAATGTTACTCAATTCTCGGAAATCCGAGAATTTAATTTAATGTTTTAAATTACAGATTTGTTTTCTACTACTTCAAAGATATATTTTTTAATTTGAATCTTTTGTAGATGATATAATCTTGCGTGTATACATTTTGGATCCATAAAACACAGTCCGATAAAAATACACACACAATATTATTTTCTCAAATTAATCCAATTACTACTACCCAATTAATCTTTGTAGCTGATCTGGAAGCAAAGAAAAGACATTGCAGTCGAAACTCGTTAATTACTAGTTTTTACCACAATACATAAAATATTTCATTATTGGTTATTTTTTTCTAAAACCTTTATTATAAAATTAACTGAGTTTCGATTAAAAAGAAATGGTAAAAGATCTGCCTCTGCTGAATGATGACCTGAAATCTTATGGAATAAAGATATGATACGCTTCAATATTACAATATTACAACATCAAAATAAATAATAAGTAAGAAAAAGTATGATAAAAAATTAAAATATCAGAAAACCGTTAATTTTTTTAGCGATTAAAATAAATCGCAATATTTATGCTGTAAAGTAAGTAGCTGTTTATTTATTTTATAAATAGACTGTGTGTTTATTTTTACATAATAAATATACCATGTGATTGTATTATAATAGAAAATTCTATGTAAGAACATAAAATAAATTTAGTTTTCCATAGCAGTACACTCCCGTGTATCAGCATTATTCTAAATCTTTTGGTAAAGTAAATAAATTGTATCATGTATGGCATAATTAACAGTTTCAAATTATTGACTATTTATTATTATATTATAAAATACTACATCACATATATTGTTCAGATTCAAGACGAGTAACTAAAACCCCCGTATTATGGACTATCTGAGACAACGCAGGTTTCACAACACCCAGACCCGGGACCTTAGATATGCCAACCACTCCGCTACGGAGGTCATTATTAACAATATAACTTACGAAATTTGGTCAAGAACTAGCTAATTTTCCAACAACTTCCAACTAGTAAATTATAACCTATGTCACTTGCGTATGATGTAGTTTTCCGTAGGTGAAAGCATTTTTATGATTGGTTCAGTATTTCTAAATATCCCCCCCCCCACACAAAAAAAACATACAAACAAATATTCTTAATGAAAAATACATACAAAAACGACTTTGTCCCATCCCTGTCAAACGTCCCTGGTATTCTGAGATAGTTTTTTAAGCATTTTCTATTAAGAATATTTTCTAATATAACATTGTGAATGCAAAATTGATTAAATATAAGACATACGATAAAAGTTAAAAACTTTAGCCCTTAACTTACTATTATATATTACGATATAACTTAAATAATCTTCAGCGATTTCAGAATTCTGCTCTGAAAATTCTGTGCAATGCGCTATGGTTCACGAAAAATGACGAAGTACATGATATTTGCAAATACCCTATATTAAGGATGATATCAGGACATCGTGTGAGACACATGATAGCCGACGGGAACGACATAAAAATGTACTTGCTATGGCACTTCTCGATACCAGTCATAACATAAAACGCCTTAAAAGAAACCAACTAGCTGCAATGTGACAGGATCTTTAATATTAAAGAGACGCCATATCATTGGATGTGTAGTCTCACAAAGTGCTGAATACCAGCTAGTCTCATTATACCTGAGAGGCTGATTGCAGACATAAATAATAATATAACTAACGAACTTTATTGTAAAATATAAGTACAAAAATAAAAGTTTGATTTTCAGTAACTGTAACTTATCCAAATTACCCATGTTCATATATTTATATTATAATACTAACAATTAAACAACATTGTCCTTATTTAAGGAAATACAATGGTTTTTTATCATTAATTTAAATTGTCACTTAGTACTTTCAGGTGGAACAACACATGTTCCTGAAAGATAAACCCGCTTTCCGCATTTTCGCTCGCAGAAAAGATAATCGTGGCAATTTTATACACCGATTGGATCTTATGAGTTACTGTCGCTGTTTCCATGTGTGAGTGTTAAGATTACACGCATTATGTGACGATATGTAAACGTGTGAGTTTATAAATAGCTAGGTGGTGGTTGGCTCGGCTCGTCTTTGAATCATCCCGACCTTGGCAATGGACAGGTCCAGTCTGATATTTCTTGATATGTAATAATTATTTGAAAAAAAAGAAAGCATTAAGTGGTTGTGAGGTCTTCTGTGATTAAAGTACAAAAGGATAAGGCGTATTGATATGGCTAAAGCGTTGGTATTAACGGTAAGTGATTACATAATTTATATATATATATTTTTAATACAACTTCCGTTTGAAATAACATTTCGTTTGAATTTATTGTAGGTCCTCTTGGCAAATCTCCTGACGTTGAATTGTCAAGAAGAGGTACATAGAGAAAATAAATTGGAACAAACCATCGCTACTGGAGTAAGTATTTTACATTTATTTAAACAATATCAAATAAAATATTCTTGTATGCGCCCTTTTTATATGAAGAAGTTGTTAATCTTATAAATAAACTCAGCAGTTACGACTTCTATTTAAAAATAAACTTAAACTAAATAAAGAAATAATAGCTTATTTTGTATATATATACTGAAATCTTAAATCTAAAATTTCACAGTTATAATGAAATTAAGAAATTTTTTAATCAAATAATTGGTCTTAGAATAATTAACAACCATTGCGTGCGAATGTTTAAATCAAAATTTCAAGCTAATTAAATCTTATATTAATATCTTAGATCTTACAATAATACAACTCGAATAATAACTATCGTCTTTATATTGAAATAAAAACTTTTATTGTAAATAAACCTTAAAAAAAGATAGACCAATATTTATCATCATTGTTTGGAGTAGGCCCCATATGTGTTCTTTTTAATAGATATATAAACTTTTTGTATTTCAGACTATGATATCTTTTATACGATTATATATTCAGTTTAATATTCTTGCTGTTGCTTACTTGTGTACTATTATTAGTCTACTCAGTTGCTTGAAACACCAGTATAAGTTTATAACACGCGATTTTCACTAACCATTAACGTAGAAATCGCGCATAATGTCATTAATGCGTCATAATTTTCCAACGCAGTACTCTTTAATGAACCGGATCATTAAAAAGATAATGAGGTTCGATTGAAAAGTTGGAAATTCATGTTTTCCTCTCAATGCTTTCTTAATTTAAATTAAAGCTTGCATTTTAAGACCATCAATAATTTTTACGCTGGAGATTTTAATATGCCTGCACTTCCACACGTTCAATTTAGTATGTTAACTTCTTTTAAGAGTATTTTTTTAAATTATATTCTTAATATGTGCATAAAATTTGATTAAGATTTTTATGTGCCGTATCTAAAATGTTCTTATTTGATGTTAATATTTTTTCCCCACCTCTTCATTATCTGCCGCTGTGTTTCTATTTATAGCAGAATTACATCTTTTCCCTTTTCCCAGAATTACATCTTTTCATCATTACATTTTCCCTTTCCTTTTATTATTCCCTTCCATAGGTTGCCTGGAAGAGATTGCTGTTTAGCAATAAGGCCGCCTTTTGTGTACCTTGTATTGTTTTACTGTGTAATTTCTTTCTGTTTTCCTGTCTGTATGTGTGCAATAAAGATTATATTATTATTATTATCTTTTAAACATTAACATTATAAGTAACGATGTGATTAAAATAAATAATAATTAATATTGAACAACGCCATATATATTGCTCAGATTCCAAGATAAGTAACTGAATCGCTTGTATTAGAGTTGGAAATAACGAAAGTAAACAACATTCAGATCCCAAACAATAAGGGAAAGTTGATTTTTTAAATTGCCATAACCGGAAAAACTGCCCCCAAAGTAGGGAGTCAGACCTTCCTTATGGATGGTTAAGGAGATTAGGCTATGATCCTCCACGATGGCTCAATGCGGTTTGGAGGCTATTAATTAATAAAAATTCAATTGTGATCAACGACATATCGTCCCTTCTGTGGTAGCGAAGTAGAGATAATAATTTTTGGTCAGCCATCCCGTGACCGACGCTTGCAAAAGCTGCTTATCAACAACGATTGCGGGCCGCGGTGTTAATACACTGCTACTCAATGAACAATAATATAGAACTTTTAAAATGTTGCTTCAAATTTCTTTGAAATTTAATTAATTACAAAGAAATAATTTGTATTTTTATTGTAAAATCACTAATTATCCACCATTTTATTTCGACACTTGTCTATCTATCTTGACACACTACCAATTATATGATAATATATTATATAATAATAATAAAACATTTAACTTAGGTTTAAAAAGTGAATTGTATTGTCTTCTTTTTTTAAAAAGAATATTCTAAATTAAGCCTATCAAAAGAGTATAAGCCATTTATTTGGCTAAAGAAATTTTAATATACTATTTCTGTTGGTAATCTGTAACACTATTAACGATTTGAATTTGGCTAAAATGAATTTTAATTTTATTCCATATGCTGCTAATAACGTATGTACATATTTTATTTATATTTTCATTTTAAATTCAACTATAAGTAATATTTTTTTAATAGATAATTACGAATTCTGCTGCATATTTGAACTCCATCAATCACTAACATAGATTTGTTAACAATGATTATTATTTTTTTATGAAAATACATTTCAAAATAAAACTTTGTTTGCGTTTGGCACCGTGAGAATGCACCTCATTAAAAGACAGCCAAGTTGCACATTTTAATTACTATCAAAATTACAAACACATTCTGCAATATTAAAATAAAATAACCCATTATTGACATAATATCGCGATGCCGTAACATTGTTGAAACCACATCGAAACAGTTCAATATACAGTGCGAACACTTATCGAAAGTGGTCATTGGGTGTTGAAACAGTTTATGATTCGAGCTTGTTCGGTTACCCACTTCTCTCCACAGCAACGTGACAACTTGTTTTTAAAATGATTGTTACACATTGTCTTAAAAAATAAAAAGCAATTCAAGGCAAGCTCCTTATAAATTTCAAAATTAATCTTACTAATTAGAGAGTTTATTTGTTTATATGAGTTTTATGAAATCCGAAATATAGGTTGTTTATAATGTAACTTAACTATATGGGTTATTTTTTTATTTTATATCACTAAATGAATGATTTTGGAATATACATAGACGGAAAAAGTCTTGATAATTATGTGTTATTGTTTGAGGATGATGACATTGATATCTTATAATTGATCATCTAGTACAACGTATCTGGCGTTTCCGTAGTTCTGTGCTCAAATTGGACCACTTGAACATTTAAAAACTAACTTTCTTTATTTATTTACAATATTTTCTTTAAATAATTACCTTTGGTTACAGCAATATTATTCGTACTATTTTAGTTTATTGTAAACATAACTTATGAAATAACTATTTATTATTATTTATAAATAATTTGATGTGACGACGCGAATAATAATAGATTAATTTTTATATTAAGTTGATTATTAGAACAGACACTTTCCTGTTAATTATTGAAGACGCAATTTCATAATTTAATCTTAACAATACATTTTACCACTTCATCCAATCTTATTAACGAATCATTTATAAAAATACTATAAACTTTTGTTACACGTTGAAAAGTGAACGCAAGCGGAAATAAATGAAAGTGAACGATCCGTCATTGACATTGAATAACGGTCGATGCGCCCGCGCATCTTGAACTTGAATAGAATTACCAGTTTCTGATGGTTATAATCAAATTCGAATTCTATATTTTTTATCAACTTTTATCTCATACGTGAATAAATAGAAATAAAATAAATTAACAATATATTTTCGAAAAGTAAACACCACATTAATTTATGTAAGTCACTTTTCAACTCAAATAGCGACAGATTACCAGGCTGTTCTTCAATGGCAATGTAAAACCTATTTCCTAATTTATAGGTATACTATCTATCCGCCAGCAGCGGATATTGGATATCGATTCATATCATAACATGGATATAATCACAATGACAAATTCAAAAGTAAACAATGGTTACTATGATTATATTATATTTTTCTATACAAACTTCCACTTCCATTTTCATCCCTTTATTTACTGTTTTTCAGGATAAAATATAAGCCTTTGTTCACCGCAAATTTCAGTAGGTGAAAGTATATATAAAATCGGTCCAATAAGTTTTGGGGCCTATTCGCTGCAAACAAACAATCAAATCTTTCATCTTCATAATATTAGTTTTTTCTCAAAACGTCCGTTTAATTTGTAAAAAACCACGACTAAAAGTCAATAGAACCGGAAGCCAAAAGTCAATAGACCTTTTAAATCGTGATATAAAGACCATTTTATATTCCAATACTTAACCAAATAGATTGAATAGAGTTGATGAGTTGCAAACAATGATTTTGAAATGAGACAGCACTATCCATAGCACTATCACGTTATGAAATCACTACACTAAGAGTTCATTGGTTTCAGTATCCAATTATTATAAGAAACCGTAAGTCATTATTTTTTACGCGGCATATAATTTATTCATTTTCACCAGTTCTGCATATGATTGTAAAAAAAATGAATCGCAAACACTATTATGGAAGTTATTTTAATTGACACGTTATTTATGCCCATTTGAATGACAAACTGAAGCTGTAATAGACAGTAATTATCCACTGTCATTCCAAAGTTATGGAAACAATTATATTCCTAATTAGTCATTCGGAATATTAAGTACAAGAACACATACATGCAATTGTAGTTAACGTTTACACACGCGAGCTATCAAAAAATACATTCCCGATTTTTTAATAAAACTACTTGATTGAGGAACGAATAAAAATATTATTAATGTTCCAATGTACTAAATTGTGCTAATTTTACAGGAAAATCAAAGCTATTCATATAGTTATGGAGTTGCAGATTCACGAACGGGAGATGTCAAGACTGTGTGGGAGACTAAGGAAGGTGACACCGTTAAAGGTGAGCAAAAACAAAAAGGAAAAATTTGTATACCTAATTTAAAAAATTTCATGTCCGTCATAATTTGTATGTACCATTTTACAATCCCGCGGCTAGTTGTTTAATTTCAAAATCTTATACAACGTCTATCAAAGGTATAGCGATAGTGGTTTATGTAATAATGAACTTTTGAAATCGTAGTCGGTTTTTGAACGAATGATGATTTGAAAAATCAAAAACATAAAACTTAATTAAACCTGTCAAGAAATTGTAATGAGCATTTTCAACTCTTACGTTTGATAATTCCCATTAATTGCCAAAATAGAGAGGGATTGCGATTGATTTTAAAATTAGACAGTTAGGCACTTTTACATATTTAATGAAATAATATCAATCGTAATTTTATCAACTATACTTTTCCTGGACTATACTCAAATTTCTTAGATTTATATCATACGTACAGTAAAAAAATTCGTAATTATATACGTTTGAAAATTATTGCCATCTTAGTTTAGAAATATTTCTCAATATTAGTTTGCGTATAACCATAGTTATTTGTATGTTTCAGGTCACTACAGTGTCGTACAACCCGATGGTTCTACAAAAACTGTAGAATACTCCGCTGGACCTAATACGGGGTTTACAGCAGTTATTAACGGTGACAATGAACAAAACTCTGAAAGCAGTAACTTTAACCGCGAAGAGAGAGTTATGAGGGAATACGACTACTATGAAGATGAAGATCCAGAATATTATCCAAAACAAAGAATAAAGAATAAAGCACAATTCGATAACTTTAGAGACTATTCAAAAAAGAGACCTAGTTACTACCCACATGACTTAGAATCCAGTGATTTCACACACAGCTACTCTATAAAGCATCCTTACGATCAATACCCCGCTGAATCTCATGTTGGTTTTAATGTTGATCCCAATTGTAAGAAACACAAAAAAGGAAACAACGACAACAACGTATTCACTAGCATACTTGATACCAATGAAAATAAGCAACCATACAATGACTACAAGGATGATTTTGAAAAGTTTGAAAACTTTGAATTTGAAAAACGACCCAATCCTTTTAGAGCAGGTTACAAGGGATCCAAATACGAGGATACCAACAAACCGGCTTCATCGAATAAACATAATTATCCGGCTTTACCTGATGCACCTATACCTGAAAAATTCTATTCTGATGATATTCCACCTCGTCCAAAGAAGAAACATAGACCGAATAAGCGGCCAGAATTTAATAGCGACGATATGGATGATTACATTTTAGTACCGAAGAAAAAATATAGAACACCACCAAAAGATGATGATTATAATCATGATTCGTATGATGATTACCGACCTCATTACCCAAGTGAAGAGGATTCAAACGATAATCGCTATCATCACTCCTTACACGGTAGTCACAGCCATGTTCAAAAAGAAATTATACGTAAAGTAGTTAAGAAGCGGAAACCAGTAATCAACCTTTTAGATATGTTTGATATTTGATTTATTTTTTTACAAAGTAGAATTAACGATATTGATAATACTAAGTATGTAGATTATGTAATTTAAATGATGATAGACTGACCTTTAATATGTATTTGCTTATCGATTTGAATTGTAATTAATTAAGTTGACCGTACATATAGTGTAAGTATCAAAATTAAAACTAAAAACAACGTACTTGAAATTTCTTTACAAACAACATCATGGTAACATTAAAAATAATATTATCATAGTAAAACTGTGATATTATCGTATTTTGTTGATGGTCTTGAATAAATTCAACTTACTTTGCTTTTTTACATGTCCATTACAATGACATTGGCAATATTCTCCAAACGCAGTTTATTACTGCAATAATTCAAAACAATATTTGCTATCGACAAAAGCTTTTTCGGCTTATTAAGCATAAGGCGATTGTGTAATATAAAGATAGTGAAAGTGCTTAAGACCCAGAAACTGGAGCGCGAGGGAGTGTCAAGTTACGGCACAAGGACGATCAATTTATTTAAAAAAATATATGTTGCGGTATGTGTGTTAAATTAAACTTAATAGTCACAAAAATAATTAGTAGGTAAACTCAGAATTTACAAGTACATCGATATTTCTTTTTCTATTTTTTATTTTTTTTCTAATGAGGAAGTATTAAAAATAAAGAGAGCACTGTAAAAGCGCGTCCACTAGATGGCGACTCTAGCAAAAGTTGATTTTTGCAGGAAAGGAATGGATCAAAGACTGTAATTTCCGTTCCTTTTAACTAACATATTACAATACTGAAATTTGAAAAGTTCGAAACTTAGATATTAATACAAATACGAAAAACTACAAATAGAATATGAGTTGTTTATTGAGTTTTGAAAAGTAATTAACTTTTAAACATGAAAGAAAACCGGAAGGGTTGTCATGGAGAAATCAAGAACGTACCGTAGCGTCATCTAGTTTGATTTCGGGAACTAAAGATTTTTTTTAAAATACTTACTCATTGTCATGGACTATAATATGTCTTCTAGAGTAACAAAACCTTGGGTAATTCCAAGGCTTTGTTTGCGTGGATTTTGTAATTATTTTATGCGAAGAATCCTTTGATGGAATGTAATCTAGACTATGGTTGTCTATGTACCAAATTTCATAAAATTTTGACGACTTGTTTTCGAGTGAAGATATTACAAACTTTCTCAATTTCAACATTATGTAAAACATTAGCATTTCGTTTGCAGATTAACAATCAACCCTAACTGTTTTCTATGCTTTTCAATCAGAAATAATTCATTAAGAAGAGATAATAAAATATATATAAAAAAGTATATTTTCAAAATATTCTATGTAATACAGAGATATTTTTAATGATATATTAATTAATCAATAAATATTAAATAACATTACATGCATTGCTTTAATTCCAAGACGAGTGGCCAAGCCCTTGTATTATGGGGTTAACGTGTACATTTTGTCTTAGGCTATTTAAATAATTCGCAAGTCGTAAGGTATTTCAATTTCAAAAAATAGTCTACAGGTGTAAAAACGTTTAGGCATGTATGGTACAAACACAGCCGTACATGAATAATTCATTGACATATCGCAATAAAATTGAACCGATTTTATTCCAACTAAACAACGGTTATGATTGGCAACACCAAAGGTGGATTAAAATGTGACGCCGATTTGTGAACCGCAGTTAATCTCCCACGTTTTGTGGTTGGTTCTCATTATACAACCTCCTTGTTGTTTTCGAGCTAAAACTATATTCAATTCGGAGCAATTATCGAGCTCTGATCTTTTTGGTACAAAAAAGTATAGTTCTCATTATTACAATAATTACATGCAATCTTATTATTTATATTACCATCCATGCAATTCGAATCGTAGTTTAAACATATTTATCTCATTTTAAGGTAGCATGATATATACCTAATTAATCAATACTTAAAAATAATTGACAATTGTAAAATAAAAAAAAGTTAAATTATTTCGTTACATTTCTACAAATTTTAGTATTTTAAATAAATAAAGTAATGTAAATTTATGATAAAACTTACTCATAGTCATCTTAATTCGTAGGTCTGATACTAAACTAAAGACAATAAAATAATCTTATCTATTACTTAGTCTGCAATTATAATATGATATTTTTTTGAGTCACGGACCTAGTCCATGATCCTAAATCAGAGGTTAAACTAACTCTCCGATCTCCTATTATTAATATATTTCCATTTATCTATACTAAAAAGGAAATTTGCATTAAGGCTCTAAAACTACTGGATTGATTTTAAAAATTCTTTCACCCACGGAATCTACATCATACGTGGCTATAAATTAAGCCGGCAAAGTAAGGGAAAAACAGCTTTATAAAATGTATTCTGAGTATGGAAAAGCCAAGTCTCTAATAACAGTCTCAAATTATTATTATTATTGTTATCTTATATGAATCTAAAGATTTTTTTTTAAGTGTCAAAACACAAAATACCTCACCTGAGTCAACATACAATCAGATGTGCTTAGAGTTAAGAAATATTTTTCTTGTTTTATTATTTCTTTCCTTGGCATGTGATTATCTCAACATTCAAAATTAAATATTTTTGTTAAATGTCTTTTTACGTGTAAGGGCCACCAACTTGACACTGGCGGAATAGTGTAAACACAAATAGGTCATAAATCAAAAAGACGAAGAAGAAGCTCGAAACCACCTCGTGACGTATAATTTTGAAGATATTGTCGTGCAGTGTTTTGGAAACAAACACTTAATAGTGGCGTTATGTTTAATTCAAGTTGCGCACGCATTCCGTGCACATTCACCGGTGGGCGCGGCCGTGACACAGAGCCATTGTCGCAACTCGCCCCACAGCTCTACTTCGTCAGTTCAATAAAAAATATTCGGGAACATTCGAAGTACTACTCGTACGAATTAACATGACACAAGGTCTATTCTATTTCTTAGGAAACAAGATTTCTCCTATTAGCGAAATGCTAATACGACACCAAAGAAACGCATTTTCGAAATTCGATATAATGTAGTCTTGTTGAAAATTTTCATATTTATACTTAAGGTAAAGATTATATTTAAAGTCGAGCTTTTTCGCTTTCATTTGACATGTTGATTACTTACTAGTTTTTTTTTCTATAAATAATAATTATTACTTAATGTTTATTTTAGTCTTCAACTTTTTAATATAATAAATTTTTACATCAACCGTAGGTACCTAAGAACACTTTCGATTAAGTCATTAGTATTCTCACTCAGTGCGCTTTCATTTGAGATCCCACAGCTTTTAAAGGCTCAACCGATTTTCACTAACCAGGTTCGATGCTTGGGCGAATAAATGAAGGACTGACTAAGTTTAAGAACTTGATTTTATTATACGGTAATAAAATAAAGGGTAAAGAAAAAGACCCTTTTTAGGTTTCCTGTAATATATAAACTTGGACGATATTTCACGAAGATATACTTTTAAATTAACAATTTTCTTATTTAAATAATAATAATTGCATTATTGTTAATTTTTTTATATTTAAGTTTTATGATTACCTAATCATGTTCACACCAGATGATTTTTTTTACGAACTGACTTTCATAAATAGCATATTGGATTAGTCAAAATTTCAAATTACGAAAGGTGAATAATAAAAAGAAAGATGTTGAACGTCAAAGACAAAAGAGTTTGCATGCGAAAACCTAGGACGAAATAAACGGTGGTACGGCACACCGTTACAATACCGGGGGGGATTTTTTTAGATATTCTTGGGTTACTCAAGCTTAAAATATTTTATATTTTAATAATAATCACACATAAGTCACCTTTAATACAAAAAAAAATGAAATCTCTTCATCCGATTGGGAGCTATGATGCCACCGACAGACAGACACACACACAAACAAGTCAAATTTATAACATCCCTCTTTTTGCGTCGCTGATTAATAAAAAAAAGGCGAAGCTTCAATACGGGTTATTTAAATTGATGTCTGGTTTTAATAGTAATTTCTTTAGATAATATATGAGGCACCTTGAAAACAATTTTTTAAAGTTAGTTTTATGAGTCCCTGGGAAAAAGGATTTTTTAAGCATTTTTCATTTATTTTGCTGTATAGCATTGTTAATGCAAAATCGATCAAATAAAATAATTAGAATACATTTTCATCTTTATAGAAAGTTTAAACATTTGTAAAAATATTTCTCTCAGCTGTTTGGGTAGATTGCTTGAAGACAAAGTGTATTTTTGAAGCATTTTTCATTAAAAATATAACACTATGTTGTTTTAAGCTTCTATTAATATAATACTATGTTGTTTTAAGCTTATCGCGAGATTGCTACCTGTTCCCGATATTTCGGCTCTGTTGCAAACGCCATGATCACGGGGCTTGCCTAAAATTGCTTTACTTCCACATCGCAGATCAAACGCGCTAATCACTGCTCTATCAAGCTCCTTATTAATAGCCATACAAAATGTTAAGTAAAAGAACGATATAAAATAATCATAATGTCAACAATTAAGTCCCTGCCCTAGATTTATTGAAAACTTGAAAAAATCAGCTTAAAGTAAAAAAAAAATGGTTTTGAATAATCACGATTGAATAATGTCATAACAAAGCCGCGTAATTTAAACCTTGAGAATATCACTATAACAGCTTTCGTAACATCAATGAGCCTAAAAATATTTTTTTATTACAAAGTTACAGAATTGACCTCATACTATACCGATAATCGTTAAAGATGGAATTTCAGTAATCCAAATGAAAATTACTACGATTGAGATAATAATAATATAATATAACTGTCGTAACATTTATTGTATAAGCAATATACCAAATAAATAATTATATTAAATGAAGCTACAGACAAAAAAATAAGGATTATTATAGCTAAAATAGTGTGGAATTAACAAATTTATGAATCTGTTTCCTTGTTGATGAAAACCGTAAAATACCGTTTTAAAATTTAAAAGTTACCACTTAAAAATAGCCACGATTTTCCATTTCTGAAATTTTCACTCTAAAAATCAAGGACAAT